GAACAGCTGACCTCTCGGTTCCTCCTCCTGGCCAGCAGGCTCCAATCACCCGATGGTGATGGCAAACAGGGAACTAGGGGGTGGGTGGCAGCGGGGGACGGGGCCGGCTGCGGGCAGCCAGGGAAGATGGCCCTGATCAAAGGCCAAGCCTAAGGACTGTAGCGCCAGGCCTCTAGTAGGAATATAAAAACAAGCTTAGGCAATAGAATAATTTTTGATTTTTAAATGTTACTGTTTCATATGTAATTTCAAGTGTTAATCATGGTATTAAAGTTTGGTGTACATTTACAAAGGAAAATGAAAGTTGAGGTTTTAGTAGAGCAGAAAAACACTAGCTTTAAAAGTGAAATCTGAAACCATGAAAAGAGGTTCAGCTTTCCTGGTATTATATAATAAAAACTGAAGGCAGGTTGACTGAAAATGCAAACTGAAACCTTAAAGTACAGTGTCTTGCCCAGCATATTGGCAGAAATGTTTAAAGTCTGATGATTTTCCAGGGTTGGTGAGGATGTGGGGATTGCTCTGGTGGAAAGCCATACTGCCACTTTGGAGGACAATTTGGCAACATTTTCAGATATAAAAAAGCTCATGCCATTCATTGTCTCTGGATCCGCCTTAGGGCAACACTCTTACACAAGAGGACTAGTTTTTAAAATGTGACTTTAAAAAAATTAAAATGTAATTTGCATACCATAAACTTCACAGTTTCCAAGTGTACAATTCACAGGGTTGTGCAACCACCACTACCATCTAAGTCCAGAACAGTTTCATTGTTTCAAAAAGAAACTCTTTATCTATTTGCAGTCACTCCCCATTTCCCTCTTTCCTCTATAACAATTTTATTGAGATATAATTCACATACCATACAAGTTACCCATTTTAACTGTACAATTCAGTGTTTTTTAGTATAGGCACAGGATTGTGTAACCATTCTAAAAATTAACTTTAGAACATTTTCATCATCCCAAAAAGAAACCTCATGCCCTTTAGCTATTGCCCCCAAAGCCCTAGTCCTCAATCCAAGGCAATCATTTCTGACTCTATAGATTTGCCTATTCTGGATATTTCATTTAAATGCATCATAAAATACAACTTTTATGTCTGGCTTCTTGCACTTAGCATGTTTTCAAGATTCATTCACATTGCAACATGAATTAGTGCTTCATTCCTTTTTATTGCCAGATAATATTACATTGTATGGATATACCACATTTTTTAATCCATTAATCACTCGATAGACATTTGGGTTGTATCCACCTTTGAGCTATTTTGAAGAATGCTGTCAATGAACATCCATATCCAAGTTTCTGTAGGAAAGTACACTTTCAGTTGTCTTGGTGGAATTCCTGAATCCTGTGGTAACTCAGTTTAACTTTTTGAGGAACTGCCAAACTGTTTCCCACAGCAGTTGCACCATTATACATTGCCACCATCAACGTCGGAGGGTTCCGGTTTCTCTGTAGCCTTGCCAACACTTGTTTTCTGTGTTTTTGAAAATTATAACCATCCTAGTGGGTATGAAGAGGTATCTTATTATGGTTTTGATTTGCATTTCCCTGATGACTAATGTTGTCAAGCATCTTTTCATGTACTTGTTGGCCATTTGTATACCTCCTTTGCAGAAATATCTATTCAACCTGTGGCATTTTTATGCTATGCTGTAGAACTGTTAAAAGGAATGAGGCAGATTTGCATGTAATAATCCCTGATCTATTTTTACATATAGATCAAGACTTAACACTGAGCAAAATAGTAAATAGTAGAAAGATACATTGCAGCACCATAAATTTTATATAAGTAAACATAGCTGTGCCTTATGTATACACACACACACACACACACACACACACCAGGACTATATGTTTAAATATAAATATGTAAGGGGTCTCATAGAATATTCCTCAAACCTGTCAAGATAGTTGGTTACCTTGGGTCAGGAAAAGAGAGAGTTAAGATGAGAGTGGGATTTCATCAAAAGGGACTTTGGGTTTTGTTATAACATTTTAAGAGTATTAATGAGCTAGTTACTTGATAAAAATTTGTATAAAACTCCTTAAAATGTATACACAACTTGAAGAGATAAGGAAAAAGAAGCAACTGGGGAACTCTAGCTGAGAGGGCTTAGAATCAGTGCTTCCTGCCACCTGACAAATGAATGCAGCTCCTGGTCTGCAGATGTGGTCATCGCCTCCCTTTATAGCTCAGACTTCTTTTGTCTTGGTCTCTTTCAAAGTAACTTTATTACTCTTTTAATAATACATAACAATTCAAATAGTATAGAGGTTTATAAAGTTTAAATTGCTCATCTCTCTTCACCTCAAGTCCCTTCTTCTCCATGACAATTTGTGTTAGTACAGCATCTTTTCTCAATAAACTTCTATGTCCTAGTTTTGTCTCCTCACCCCTCCCAGAAGGTCTGTTTCTCCAGCTTTCTGT